CAAGTATAGCAATTAATATCTCCTTCGATCTCTCGGTTATGATATTGTGTAACTTTATCATGTGTACCATGAATTTGTGACTAAACGTGCTGTGGCAAGTGTATTAAAACATTTTGAGATAATTGCCATACCAATCGACGATATGGTAATCATCTCAAGGTTAATCCCATCGGTTTCTTGAATGTTTGCGACCTTTAGAGGGCCGTTCTTACTTTGGTAAGGATTTGGCAAGCCTCTTGATAGAATTATGCAAACGTAAGTAGATCTGTACTTAGATAAAACTGCTTCTATTTAGTTTAGACTTTCTTACCATATGAATAAGATTGAAAATTGGATATTCCGAAGACAGTTAAGGTTGACCTGCTAACGTCATCTATTATTAATCATAATGTCTGTAATGTGAAGTTTGTAGTTCGCAATCCAGTAAATATTATGTCATTTTTTATATCGAAAGGGCAATAGCTAACAACACCAAGCAGCAGTCAATTATGTACTTTAAAAACATATATAATTAGAATTGAAATACGGTAATATTAATTTTATATAAAATTTAAACTGATACAGGCTACGCCGATTAAAACTCCTAGAAGAGTAATAGAAATATTCGAAAACCGAAAATGGAATATACTTTGAACTGGCTGGGATTCAAAAAAATAGTCACGAATGGGCGGGCTCGACAGGAGTGGTATGACGGCCTCACAGGAAGAAGAAGTAGTTTTTATCTCAATGTTTATTTTGTTTTGTTTATATGATATAATAGATATATAAATTCAACCTCTCAAAGTATTACGCAACTGCAACCAGTTTTCCTTCAAATTTTTAATGAATTCACAAGGAAATTTATTAATTTAAAAAACAAAAACAAATTCATGACATCCACAATTACGCCATCAATCTTTATGATATGACGAAAATGTGAAATAATTAAGAAGAATTAGAATTACTTAAGATTTAAAATGATTTTAGATAACGATCATATTCTGTGTGTTTAATATATTTTTAGACAAAACCTTAGTAAATGACGTGTTGTAGGTACACTGTAACCCCTTCCAAGATGTCGCGGAGAACCTAACGGGTAACCGGCGCGATCTCATGGCGGAATGGCAGCAACGACTGTCGCAACCGAGGGCTGGGCTCGCTGCCATCGCAGCGGTAAGTCCCCTCTTTGAGGAGTGGCTTGAGAGACGCTTCGGCGTCCTCTCCTTCCGCCTGACGCAGGTCCTCACCGGACATGGGAGTTTCGGGAGGTACCTGTGTCTGATGGGACGGGAGGAAACGTCCGGGTGTCATCACTGCGAGGACCGCCCTGAAGACACGGTGGAACACACTGTCGCGGAATGCCCTGCGTGGGCTGAGCACCGCCGTGTCCTCAGGGAAGTGATCGGCGATGGCGACCTCTCGCGTCCGGGCCTAGTGCAGGCCATGATGCGGAGCGAGGGGGACTGGGATGCCGTCTCCTCCTTTTGCGAAGCAGTCATGCTAGCTAAGGAGGAGGCGGGACGCGTGAGGCAGCGAAGCGCTGCCTCCTCGCAACCCAGCCATCGCGAAGGACACACCGGGCGTCGGGGATCGCGGGACGATCTCCGGCCACCGTAAGCGCGGGCCTGCGGACGGCGAGCATGGGTGGCTCCCCGTCCGACCAGAAACAGACCCGAGCGTACGGCGCGTCGCGTTCCGCGCGCGCCTCAAAGAGCCATCAGACCACCACAGATGGGGCCCAATAGGGCCGATGCCGATTCGGAGTCGCGGAGAACCTAACGGGTAACCGGGGCTCCGGCTCGACGTGCAGGAGAAGGAACGGGGTGGTTTTTAGTCAGTAAGAGTCTGACACTCCCTCCCGCCTCACCCAGGCGGGGGCAGTCATTCGATGATTTTCCCCCCTTAAAAAAAAAAAAAAAAAAAAAAA